TAATTTGCTATGTGTGTCTCATTTTATAGAATTATTTAATTGTAAAAATATCTCATGAGAGTGTCAAGTACAGCAGCAATCTCCATGTGTCGGAAGAATCCTGCAGGACCCAGAGCCCCAGCACAGTGCTTCCCCCTCACTCACTGATACAGGAGGGAAACAATGACCAGAATATTCTGGAACTGACCAATCAGATCATCCACCTGCTGACTGGAGAGGTGAGGCTGCTGGGAATGGGATATTATACAGTTAAACCAAGGGATGTGTCTGGATGGTGACTGTATCATTGTGTGTGTCAGGTTCCTATAAGGTGTGAGGACATCGCTGTCTATTTCTCCACGGAGGAGTGGGAGTATTTAGAAGGACACAAGGATCTCTACAAGGACGTGATGATGGAGAACGACCAGACTCTCAGCTCACTGGGTAAGAAGAGTTTAATAACTATAACAGCTGTTTACCTTGTGGCACTGGATAATGTCTGGAAGAATTGGCCAATTCTGAACGAATGTAAACAACTTGCGATTTACCCTAGTCAATCCTATATATTTGTAAATACCTAGCTTAAAACATATGCCTAACATACCTTTTGCCAGCTTTCAAGGACATTGAAAAAGTATATTACACATAAGCGAGAAAAAAAAGTCAAACAAAATCAGCACACGAAAAGCGTTTACCTGCTAAGCCAGGGTCATCAGCACTGCCAGACACTCCAAGGGCATTAAATGGCCCAACCATGTGATCGTGTATTGTAAGCAAATTATGGAGGAGTAAATTTAATTAGTCAAATGAATTGAAATATGAGGAAACATTAAATACTTTCACAGATTAAAGGGAAAACCAACAAAAATAACAACATTTACCATGAGGACCTCTCCAATGGGCGGGTGTTAAACAAAAATCCCCACTAAAACACATACACCATATGCAGAATTGCAGCAAACTAAAAATTAAATGGCAAAAATAGCAAAGCATTTACCAGACCTGCTATTTTTGCACAGAATGTTCCATTTAGATTTGTTAGCTGATCTACAAAGTGTGGTGACTAACCCTGTATTTATTACTATACTCTTCTCTTTTAAGTAGACATAACATCTGCATATTTCTGGAGTTATACAAATGTATCTAAGTATCAGAGATTGAAACAAACAGTGGTTAAACCTTCCCTGCCTGCATCGATGTTAATCTATTTTTTAATTTTTTAAAAGTGAACTAATTGCAGTGTTCTCACTTTTAGTAGGTGGAAAAATGGGAAGATGTTCTTATCCAAGATCTTATAGTCCTGTTTGTTCTCCAGATTGTGTGAGCGAGGATGAAGAGAATAGTACATTGAGTCCTGGAACTAAATGTACGAAAAAGAGTCAAACTGTGGGGAACATTAATGAGAAATCTGCCTCGTTGAAAGAAGAAAATGTGACAAACACTGATATTTCTACCCACACAGAAGATGCAATGACTGAACATATATCCGTACATATTAAGGAGGAACTATTTATACATGATAACAGAAACCTCACAGTCAATGGTATTTATATACCCATCGATGATGGGCCAACAGAGTATATATCTACTACTATTAAGGAGGAACTGTCTTTACATGATAACGGAAACATCACAGTCAATGGTCTTTATATACCCACGGATGATGGGCCAACAGAGTATATATCTACTACTATTAAGGAGGAACTGTCTTTACATGATAACGGAAACCTAACAGTCAATGGTAATTATATACCCACGGATGATGGGCCAACAGAGTATATATCTACAACTATTAAGGAGGAGTTCTCTCCGTATAGTGAAGAAAATATTGAAGACCTTTATGAACAGGGAGAGCATATTGGCTGTGTTATTGAGAAATCGTCTCTTCTTGAAGATGAAAATGTGTTGTCCACTGGACTTAATACACTTACTGATCATTCATCACAACCAGGATATACATTCAACCAGAGGAGAGATTTGTCAGCCATACATGGAGAAGATTGTCTCAAGAATACAAAACTATACTCGTGTTCTGAATGTAACAAGTGTTTTACTCGTAGTGCAAACCTTGCAGTTCATTGGAGGACTCACACAGGAGAAAGGCCCTATTCATGTTCTAGATGTGGGAAAGGGTTTAGGCATAGACCACATCTAATTATACATGAGAGAATTCACACAGGAGAGAAACCATTCTCATGTTCTGAATGTGGAAAATGTTTTATTGATAGATCACGTCTTTTTAGACATCGGATGATCCACACTGGAGAAAAGCCTTATTCTTGTTCTCTGTGTGGGAAAGGATTTATCCACAAACCACATCTTGCTATACATGAGAGAATTCACACGGGAGATAAACCATACTCATGTGCAGAATGTGGAAAATGTTATAGCGATAAGTCAAATCTTTTTAGGCATCAGAAGACGCATGCTAAACAATGTAATGGACAGTTGTCTTGAACACTGCTATATGTCTGAATAAGAGTGTCTACAATATTTTTTTTTTATTTTATTTAGGGAATGTTAATGAATATCTTGTTGCTATATTTTTATGCGTTTTATATAGATAATGTATTAAAAATTTCAGCAAAAAAGTTATTCCGCTTTCAATGTATCCCAAGGTGTACTGCTTAGTGAATATACTTGCATAAGCAAACAAACCCTTCTCACACCAGGATGAGAGATCAGAAGTGTCCCATTCTCTAAGGAAAGAGGTAGGCAAACTTCAGCACTCTAGATGTTATGGACTACATTTCCCCTGATGCTTTGCCAGCATTATGGCTGTAAGAGCATTATGGAAGATATAGTCCACAACATCTGTGCTGAAAGTTGCCTCCTCCTGCTCGACGACTAATTTTATCCCATATTTCCCTGTCCAGCAGGTGATTATGGGATATTATGTTATTATTTATATAGCGCCAACAAATTCCGCAGCACTTTACAGTGGGTGGACGAACAGACGTAGTTGTAACCAGACAAGTTGGACACACAGAAACAGAGGGCTTGAGGGCCCTGCTCAATGAGCTTACATGCTAGAGGGAATGGGGTAAAGTGACAAATATGTAAGGATAGTATTAGACTGACAGTTGAAAGAGAGGAATCAGTCGGGAGCTATTAACAGTTTAATTGATACGCTTTTATGAAGAAGTGGGTTTTTAATGACTTTTTTTGAAGGCGTGGAGACTGGATGAGCGTCTAATACAGGAACGGTGCAGCCCTCGAGAAGTCTTGAAGGCGAGCATCAGAGGTGGGAGTACGGACAGAAGATAGATGTAAGTCTTCAGCAGAGTGTAAGGGCCTAGTTGGGACATACTTGTGTATTAGGGAGAATAGATAGGTGGGAGCAGCATTATGTAGTGATTTGAAAGCAAGAACCAGAATTTTAAATTGAGCCCTATATCTTACAGGAAGCCAATGTAAGGAATGACAGAAGTGGGAGGCGCGGGCTGGCAGGAAGATGAGCCTCGCCGCTGCATTCATTATGGACTGTAACGGCGCAAGTTGGGAGCACGTAAGACCACTGAGAAGCGGATTACAGTAGTAAAGGCGAGAAAGGACAGTGGAATGGACCAGCACCGTAGTCGCATCTGGCGTTAAGTAGGGTCGGATGCACGCAATGTTTTTGAGATGGAAGCGGCAGGATTTGGTGATAGACTGAACATGAGGCGTGAAGGAGAAGTTGGAGTCAAAGAGAACATCTAGGCAGCAAGCCTGCGTGGTGGAGCTGATGGTAGCACCATTGACTTGGAGGGAGACCGACACAGGAGTAGCAACACTTGAAGGAGGAAAGACCAAAATTTCAGTTGTGGGCAGCCATCCAGTTAGAAATAGCAGAGAGGCAGTTAGAGACAATAGTCAAGAGGGACGTGGGGAGATCAGGAGAGGACAGATAGATTTGCATGTCATCCGCATAGAAATGGTATTGGAAGCTAATGAATTTACCAAGGAAGGCATTATAGATGGAGAACAGTAGGGGACCAAGGACTGAACCTTGGGGGAGGGTCACCAACTGAGAGGAGTTAGGGAGAACAGGCAGAGCCAGAGAAAGAAACACTGAAAGAGTGCTGGGAGAGGTAGGAGGAACACCAGGAGAGAGCAATATCTTGTAGACTGATATTGCGGAGGATGAGAAGAAGCTGTTGATGATCAACCGTGTCAAAAGCCGCAGAAAGGTCAAGGAGAATTAGGATAGAGTAGTGACCACAAGATTTTGCAGCGAGTAGATCATTGGATACTTTGGTCAGTGCCGTTTCCACAGAGTGCTTAGCGCGGAAACCAGAATGAAGCGGGTCTAGCAGAGAGTTGGACTCGAGGAAGTCTGTCAATGTTGCATACACAACTCTTTCAAGGATCTTGGATGCAAAAGGCAGTAGCGAGATAGGGTCAAGGTTGAGCCTCTCTCCCTCCCTCTCCCTCCCCCCCCCCGTCCGGCATATTTCCATCATCCTTCAAACATGCAACTATAACCCCAGTTCTAAGGAAGCCCAACCTTGACCCTACTGTGCGTATATATTATAATTGTAAAGGGTCACGCCAACTAATATCCAACTAATATGCAGTGTTTAACCCCTTAAAGGGAAACTATAGTGCCAGGAAAACAGCAGTTTTCCTGGCACAACATCTCCCTATAGTGTCCACCTCCTCCCTTGTGGTGCAGAAGGTGTTAAAAAACCCTTGTGTCACTTACCTGGATCCGTCTGCCTCCACTCTTTCCCCGCTGACAGCCGTTGGGGGAGACCTAAAGCACATGCACGGCAATAGACGCGCTTGACTTAGGATATTCCCAAAGGAAAGCATTATTCAATGCTTTCCTATGAGGGTTCCGGTGACACTGGAAGTCCTCATGCATAGCGTGAGGATGTCCAGCGTCAGGCGATCAAAAGTCGCCTAATGATCTGGAAGTCCCTCTAGTAGCTGTCTGGTAGACCATTACTAGTGGAGTAGGAGTTAACCCAGAAAGGTAATTATTGCAGTTTATAAAAAAAACTAAAACTGCTATAATTATCTTTTCAGGGTTAAGGGTGCTGGGACACTACACCCAGACCACTACAATGAGCTGAAGGGTGTGCCTTTAATGACAGCGGGGGGGTGCTATGCCATTCTTTAAATCCTTGTAGCTGTACAAAAGTGTTTAGCTGCAGGGATTTCCATGGATTACAATCTTGCTCAACTCAAAAGAACACCCACTAGGTCTAACAATACTTACAAGAGTCTAACAGGTTCTCCCTGAATGCCTGCCTGCCTGCTGCCGAGCACCAATGACTGATCGGGATGAATTGCAAGCAGCGGGAGATATCCTTCATATGCTGTAATCACACAGTACAGAGTGCTCACAAAATGTTGTACATTGTGTCAAAATCAGAGCAAGGGTTCGGGGATGGGGTTAGAAATAGCACCAATGTTTGACACTGTTAAAGGACCACTATAGTGCCAGGAAAACAAACTCTTTTTCCTGGCACTATAGGGTCATTAGGTCCACCCCACCCTCATGGCCCCCCTCCTGCTGGGCTGAAGGGGTTAAAATCCCTTCAGCCACTTACCTTCCTCATACGCCAGGCTCCCTCTGCACTAGTGACTTCTCCTCCCCATCCAACGTTGGCTCCTGTGTGGAGCCTAATGCACATGCGCGGCCAGAGCCACGCGCACATTTAAACAGCCCATAGGAACGCATTACTCAATGCTTTCCTATGGACATCAGCGTCTTCTCACTGTGATTTTCACTAGAGGCTGGATTAACCCTGGTGTAAACATAGCAGTTTCTCTGAAACTGCCATGTTTTCAGCTGCAGGGTTAAAACTAGAGGGAGCGGGCACCCAGACAACTTAATTGAGTTGTCTGGGTGCCTATAGTGGTCCTTTAAGTAAGGTGACATAGTGTCACTGTGCTTACTTATTAGGGATACCATTTGGTAAACAGACACGTCAAAGTTATAGTATGTCTATTATTTGACCTTATACGTTCCTTAAACTCCTGGCAATGCTCTGCTTTTGAAAATAAAATATGAAACAAAAATTTAATTTAGCATGCAAGTTTAACCAAGGATAGTGTTAAAGTGAACCGGCTGTGAAAAATGTCAGCTTTAGACTGAATGCACCATATGATAGAGATACATGCTGTATTCAATATAACATATTAAGATTTACTCACCCAACTTTCATTCCAGCGCCGCCAAGTCCTGAGCTTCGTGGGTGTTAATCTTCATGTAACACCTACTTCCAGCCCACCAACACTCTGCCTGCTGCTTCCTCTGTGATGTCGACACACTGGCTTCATTTGCCAGCATGCTTGAGTCTAAATTAAGACCCTGGGAGTCTCCATGACAGGGGAGGAGCATTTCAATGGCTATGCACAGCGCTAACTTTCAGTGCTGCACCTAGCTCATCTGTTAGTCTGGAGTCAGTGTCGCAGCTGAAAGAGGGGACTCCCAGGTATCGAAAGACACCTTTACTGCATGACAGTCTTTCCTGTCAACGGGCATTAAAGCCCTTCAAAGCATGATGGCATAGGCATTCGTGTGCTGCTTAGGTGATGAAACCAGCAAGCTCCTTTTACAAATATGGAAACCAAATGAAAGCAAGAAACTTTGAACTTTGAAGTATTTATTAACTGTTCATAAACTTATTATGAACTTGGTCAGATTGCATTGTTGGGCACACCTCTCATCAAGGGGAGTTTATTCACCCCCATCCCTTACCCACTCATCTCAGTTTCAGATCAGTCCACTAATGATATTGTAAAGCGCTACGGAATCTGTTGGCGCTATATAAATGATAATAATAATAATAATAATGACAGAAACAGGGTTATCATTGTGCAGCAGCAAGAGAAAACTGACACCGTAGCCTACTCTGTATGATCACACTGATCAGACTCCCTCTCCTCCGCCTGTCAGGATTTTACAAGTTAAAATAGCAGGGAGCAACCTGGTTAATTTATAAAAGTGCCAGTTTTAATTAAAAAAATCTGCACTTTTTGCAAAATTAAATAATAATAAGAGGACACACTCTTCTAATATAAAGAGTTCCACAGTGTTAAAGTTTAGTATCAGTCACTTCTTGGAGTAATGAGAGCGCATCGCAATTACTGCACAGCCTTTAATTTTGCAGGACATTCAGACATTTAAAGGGTTACTCCAAGCACCATGTGTCACGGCTCTTGGCTCTTCTGTCGGCGTGGCTGCACATTTTCTAGGCAGCCACACTGACAGAAAGGTTTCAAACTTACCTTGGTCATGGCAGGCAGCTGCCCTGTCTCTCTTCGTTCCCGTCCCCAGCGGGTACGACGTTCTTAGGAACGCCGGCCGCTGCGGATCAGGATTGTATAATAAACTTACCTTTGCCCACATTAAAGATAGTGCCAACGTGCATGCAACATTAAATAATAGACATGCATGCACGTTTTGGGGTGAGAGATCACAGACAGCTTATTACAGCCTATAGAGGGTTATTTAAACCCAAATTACCTTTTTGCCAGTGCCCTATCGTGGTTTCCACTAGCTGGTTATCTGAGAGTGTGTTCCTGATCGTGTTTTTTCTGTTGTTTGACTTTCCTGACTTCTGTTATCCTTGACTTGACCTGCTTTCCTCATCGTTGCGTCTCATTCTGTGTCCCTGACCATCGGCAAATATTTTGACTATTCTCAGGTACGTTGAGTCCGGCCATTCTAAGGTATGGTTAGACGTTATCCTTAGTATTTAGGTGTGATACAATTCTGCGTGCTGGATTAACTATAATCCAGACACTATGAGCATTTAAGTGATACGAAGTGGTCATGATGCCTGGAGTGTCTATGCACAGCATTTCACTTTGAAAAGCTGCATACATGGAGCTTAACCCCCTCCACCTCCACCAGTGTCATTAGCAAGCCTAGAAGAAGACAACGATCACCTGACACTCCTAGATAATGAATGGCGACTGGATCTGCAGCTCTGTAGAAGCCGGAAGCATGGCAGCAGAAGAGCTAGAAGTCTCGGAGTCCAATGGAAAACCATGTAAGTGTCCCTTTAACGCTATAAAATGTATTTTTGTTATTTATTGTAATTGAATTTTTTACATTTGATCTTCATATAATCATAAAACAGAATGAAAGAAATCCATTTTGGAAATGCCAATACAGCCATTTCATGCTTCGTCTACGTGGAACAAGATTAAACTAATGGCACCCATGTTTTGTTCTCTTAGTCTGCCTCATGTCTTGCAATCTCAGGCTGGGAACTTTCAAATTCCTTGTGAGCCATTTGAGTGTGTGTGTCTATTCCCAGTGGTGGCAGAAGGGTCTGCAGAGTCGAGCGTTGTTTTGACCTGACAAGACATAATGGGCTCTGAGTCGCTTGGTCATATTTTTGCATTTGTTCCTCCGCGGAATTTATATTTATGGAGAAACAAAAGATGGCACTATACATTGTATTCTCATATAGTGGCAATTACCCACTGCGCAAGATATAGCATGTCAGGTTACTATAGTGTAATACATCAAGCTAAAAATGGCTCACATTATATCTAAAGGTGTGGAAGTCTAAAAACAAAGCAGTAGCCCAGTCTACCTGTCCTGACACAAAATTATTTCAGACTGAGGCACTTGACATCGACACGCTTATTCACTAAAACTCAAATATTATTGAATTAAATCTATATGGAATACTGAGACGAAACAAAAGTTGCTATGAAAAAATTCTCCTGTTCAGATCTCACAAAATTTTAGTTCAGTTGTCCATTTGTATTTAACTTGTGAGTTTAGTGAACAACCCTGGACGTGTTTAAATATGCATAGGGATTTGGGCTAGTGCGCAGACAACTCTTTTCTTTGGTTTTATTGTATGTATTGGGGCTGATGTGAACTATGGTCATTGCTGCTGCCTAGGAGTAGTGAGTCTGAGCGCAGGACTTATTTTTGTGTATTTGTATTCAGTTTGTATCACACAGCTATGTTACAATGCTGCTGCCCATTCCATGTGTTCCCTATTAAGGTTTAATAAGCATGTAGGGATGTGTATAAAAAATACCCCTCTCTGTCTCAGAGATTTTTTTCGCTGAAGGTACCAAGGTGAATGTTAGTGTAGGACCCACCTAATAGGTTTGTCTTGATGTGGCAGGTGTGCTTACATCTAAGTGAAACAAGAAACCTCCATTTGTTTAAGTATGCATAGGGATTTGGGATAGCACACAGGTAACTTTTCTTTGGTTTGTACCTGGTACCAGACACCTAATACCACCCTCCTGGAGCCCTGCAGGATCCGCACACAGTGCAGCCAGAGCGGCTTCCAGCTACTACAGCCAAGCGCTAATGACATCACAGAGCCACAAACAAAAGTGGATGGGGCGTCTTAGGTCACAAAGCGACACTTGTATCAAGGGGGTGAGTCCACATAACTTGGGAGCGCAGGAGAGCCGGACTATGGTGTCCATGTTATCCTTCCGCCAGGTGGAAACTAGTCCCGGAGTGTTGCATTTATATGGAGACTATCGGACTGTTAGCCAGTTTAACATGGAGCTACTGGCAGCTGCTCTAGTCACAGGTAGCATGTTACTTATTGTGATGGCAGATAGGTCCACAGGCTGTGTTTGGAAGTTGCTTATTTTGTTATATGATAATCCATTTTTCCCAGGTTTGCATTTACAGTGAAATACAACTGCACTAAAACAGGGGTGATTAGTTGCTATTTAGGGACATAGATTTCTAAAGGTAACAAAACTACATCTCCCAGGATGCTTTGCCAGCCTTACAGCTGGTAATGCATGAAGAGAGTTGTAGTTCTGATACAGCTGGAATGTATTCCCTGGTCACTCTTGTCCTAAATCTATTTAGCTCCAGTGTTGCTATGCAACACAGACCCGCCTCTGAATTTCCAACTCAGTCAAAAAAACACAATAGACAAAATCCAAGGAGGACGCTTTATCTCACGTAGAAATGGATGATTGGCACCTTGTGCAATGTGAAATCGTTACCTATGGCATCTCACTGCACAAGCGCAGGCTCATGAGATATTCCATAAACCCTCATTTTGTTTCCTTGCGCATGCACAAGAGCATAATAATGATGGTAGTTTGTGGCACCTAAGACTGCCAAGTGCTTACGATGGCAGAGGCCAGGAGTAATATGGGTCAGCTATCAATATATACTTGGAAATACTTGCCTGAGATATAGGTGTGGAAAAGGCAAAAACAGACAGGATATTTAAATGATAAAGACCAAGAAGGTCGAAACGTTGCTGTGGTTCCATTATGCCTATTTTTGAACCAAGGACTGCCTTGTTATGGGCAAATGCAAATATTACAAGTTTTAGAATGAAATGTTGTATTTCTTAAACTGTGTACTTTGTCTTTAAGAGATATTGCAAACTGACAAGGTGTTAGAAATGGAACATATTGTTTTTCATAACTGTTTCTTTAAGCAATAACCTCAGTGCATAATATGTTTGCGCCATTTTGTCCCAGACGAATTACAATAACAATAATGCATAAACAAGCTTCAAGGCTATACTACGACTCTTGCAGTACACAATATACTGTGGTAACCTTAGTAGATAAGGATGTTCAGACTTTAAGATGCCATCTTGAACTAAGTCAGGAAAATTTCCATGACGTTTGCACCCTTTAGTTATGGCCTTGTATGTTTGCCAAATTAAGGGAGGTCCTAAAAGGAATAAAGTAAAAGAAGTGTTACTTTTGCATATTTGAACAACGGTAACCCTAAAATGATGACACCTAAGGTATAAATAGGTGTACTTTTAAATGATAATGGAGAGAGAAGAGATTTGGAGACAGATGCTGCTCCATCTTAAAATGACAGAGAGGCTGACATGTTCAGAAGGGTATGTTAACCTATTAATGATATTTGCAAGCATTTAATTTAATCTTATAAACTCTGCTATAATGGATTTTATATGTCTATATTTAGATTTTTATATAATAAATATCTAAAAGACAAAACTATTGCTTCCAAGACAATCCTTATTTTATATTGTATTCTCAATTATTTATATATGTTAAATAGAGGATCTCTTACTAACTATATAAAATTATGGTTAAGATATCTGTATGGTTAGCCCTACTAAGTTCTATGCTTTAAGACATTATAGTGGTAAATAAGGGAACCAGCCGCGGTTACAGCCTGGACCTCTTTCCTTTGCTATACTATTTCTATGGGAACCTGGTGTTTGGCTCTGGTACAGCTAAGCACCCTGGCTCATACTGATGGGAGTAAGTGCAGTTCCCTACACACTCTGGAAGGATATTTAAATGGGCATTCTTTGAGAATTGAAAACAGGACAGTTATAAAGATAACACACATTATGTTGTTAGGCAGCTATTTGAAGGCACTGAATGCACTCTGCTACTTATAAATGCAAAGTTCAGAATTGTTAAAAATTATGCATGGCATTTGGGGGCATGGTGACTGAGCCTGCTTCTGCCCTGTACATATCTATATGTCCTAAGGAGCCAATGATTTTCTTCCACCGCATGTTTACTAATCCAACCTGATTCATACACAATGTTTAAAAAAAGATAAATAGAACAATGAACAAAAGTGATATAAATTACTGATTTTAATAATGGTCAGTACATAAACTAACATATTAAGATCTACAAATTGTGTGTGAGCCATTTATTAAGAGTGGCTTGGTAACCAAAATATTGACATGGTAATTGAAATTCTTAGGTTCAACATCATATACTATATACTAAACGTAGCGGTAAATACCACATGGCAAACACTCGAAGATCTGACAGCTTTCAAAACAAAGGTTGTTTCATTACAATTTTCAAATCCTCAGTAGTTATTGATAGGATTTACAAAAAATATAGAAACATGGGATGGCTGGAGCCAATTTGAATGTTCATCTCCCCAACGATGCATAATGGATGCAAGCATTAGATGCTTTTTATTAAATATTTCAAATAATGTTATTAATAATAATTTTTAATAATTAGAAATAAAACCACCTCCCCCGTATTAATGATCTGATGTTTGCCAAGGCTCGACTTCATAAAGTATTTCCCACACTCCAAGCATAAGAATGGCTTCTCTCCTGTGTGACTCCTCTGGTGTATTATAAAATGGGATTTCCTAATAAACCTTTTCCCGCATTCAGAACAGGAAAGGGGTTTCTCTGTAGTGTGACTGGTTTGACGGTACAGAAAAATTGATACTGCGGGTTCCTAAACATATAACTGCCTCCAAAAACAGGAGACTGGTTGACATTTATTCATCAGATTCTTTTAATAACCAGGCTGTTTGCAATCACATGACCGAAAAAAGTGTTTTTTGGGGGAATGGAGGTACTGAAGTTATATTTACATTTATTTATCATGTCAGTAGGCATAAATGATTTCAGGGCAAAAATAAATATAGCTTATCCCTGTTACAAAATAAGGCATTAATAAACATAATACTTTCTTCTAAATGGAAGTTATTAAACGGTATACATGAGATTAGTGAATGGATGGTACATGGATGCATCACCTGCCCATGTAAACATGTTACTGGGGTAAAGGTGTATTACATTATACGTTATTTGAATGGTAGAAATTAGAAGACTTTTCCCCCCTATTTGAGGCATGATTGACGCTTGCTTCAAATTGTAGGTTTTTTTTTGTCTAATTTGGATCAACAATGGTAGGAGAGAGCACTCACTTTTATTTTTAAGGGTGGAAAGACACCGTCTCCCCAGATAAGTATCAAACAACGAACAAAAAATAAAAATAAAATGATGTCCAGCAGTCCTTATTGTGAAAATATCATAACTGTTATTGACAAAACAGCAATGTTTTGACTGTGTGTCTTTATCAACCATTGCTTGAAAAAGACACACAGTCGAAAAATTACTGTTTTGCCAATAAAGAGGTATCGTCCTCTCACAATAAGGAGTGCTGGACGACTTTTTTGTTTATTCTTTAAATTGGATTAACAGCAGAAACCTATGAAAGTTTAACTTGAAAGACTTATTATTTTGACTCGAGATTACTATGCAACTATGTGAATAAAAAGGTTCAGTAAGGCTAAGACTGGTCTGTAATGCCAAAGTAACATTGATTTAGCAAATAGTCCCATTACACCCAGTTGATTAGTCAGTGTGTTCTTGTTCATGAATCTTTAGATGTGTAACAAGACTTGTCTTAGCAGCAAAGCTGTATCCACATTTAGTACAAAAATAAGGCTTCTCCCCAGTGTGAGTCCTCAGATGTGAGACAAGATGGGATTTTTGGGTAAAACTTTTTTCACATTCAGAACACGAGAATGGTTTCTCTCCGGTGTGAATACTCTGGTGCTGAACAAGAACCGATTTAAAAGTAAAACTTTTTCCGCATTCAGGACACGAGAACGGCTTCTCACCAGTGTGAGTCTTTTGATGCTGGACAAGACTTGACTGAAATATATAACTTTTCCTGCACACGGAACAGGAGAACGGTTTTTCTCCTGTGTGAATCCGGTGATGTGCAAGTAATTGTGACTTTGCACTAAAACTGTGACTGCATTCAGAGCAGGGGTATGGTTTCTGTGATTTGTGGATTTGCTTATGTTGCACAAGCCCTGATTTACTAGTAAAACCTTTCCCGCATTCAGAACATGAAAAAGGTCTGTCATCTGTGTGAATCCTCTGATGAGCAATGAGATGTGATTTTTGATTAAAATTCCTCTCACAGTGTATGCATGAGAACGGTTTTTCCCCTGTATGAATGATCTGATGTTTGACAAGGCTCGACTTCATAACAAAGCATTTCCCGCACTCCAAGCATAAGAATGGCTTCTCTCCTGTGTGACTCCTTTGGTGTATTATAAAATGGGATTTCCTAATAAACCTTTTCCCACATTCAGAACAGGAAAGGGGTTTCTCTGTAGTGTGAATGGTTTGATGGTACACAAAACCTGACTTATCGGTAAAACGTTTCCCACACACTGCACAGGAGTAAGGTTTTTCTCCAGTGTGAATTCTATTATGTGACGTAAGACTGGACTTTTGACTAAACTGTTTTCCACAAACAGAACAGGAAAATGGCTTCTCTCCTGTGTGAATATTGTGATGTTTGACAAGACTTGACTTACTGGTAAAGCATTTCCCACATGCAAGACAAGAGAATGGTTTTTCTCCAGTGTGACTTCTTTGGTGTGCATCGTATAGTGATTTAGCAGTAAAGCGTTTGCCACAATCAGGACAAGTAAACCTTTTTTCCCTTATGTGAATGCGCTGATGTTTAACAAGTGCTGATTGAGTAGTAAAGTGTTCCTGGCACTCCATGCAGTTAAATATTCCCTCTACCAGTTGCATCTGTTCCTGAATTTTATCATTTGCTTGTTTTTTATTAGATACTTTCTTCTTTGTTGTACTTGGACCTTTATGTCTGCTAAACACACATTTTAAAGGTGAATGTTTTTTAGTAGTGTGAATGTTGGCATTTGGAAGATTTTCTTCACACGCTGCTGATTCCTCCTTAATCTGAATAACTGTATAGTCTGTAACTCCACCCGTGGTAAGGTCCATGAGAGTTTCATCTTCAGGTGAGGAAGATTCTTTCTTCAAGAGTGTAGATGTATGTTCTGTGGGTGTATAACTGTCACATGAGGGCAATTCTTCCTTAATACAAATAATTTTATAATCTGTAAGTCCATTCATGTCATTATATATGATATTCCCCTCTTCAGACAAGGCTGGTTCCTCCTTAATGGCAGTAGATCGATACTCTGTCTGTTTATGTTCTGTGGGTGTATATGTGTCTGTTAGATTTCCTGTTTGCCAGGAGTCTGATTCCTTCTTTATAGGAGATACAGATTCTGTCTGTGTATGGTCCATGTGTGGGTGACTTTCTGTGTCCATGAGATAACCTTCACATAAGGGCAACTCTTTTCCCATACTTCCACCCTGTTTTTTCCTTGATTTATTAAGGCCAGTGCATTTTAACGCTTGATTAATTCCAGAAACATTTTTATTTTCATGTAGACAGTTTAATGCAGCAACAGAGATAGGAAAGCCTTCCGTTTTACAACTGTCCAACGATCCATCTGTAGGATAGAAGGTCACAATGAGACTTTTTTTTCTTAACTTTCAAAAGAAGTTGTGGTGATCTCTAAAAACAACAGGAATAAGACAAAATATGTTGATCGATTTAATTTAACCTATACATGCTTACATTTAGTGTTATTAAAGAAAGAGGTAGTCAGCAGTTGCAGTATAGAGGGAACCCCTGGTATAGAGGATACAGCTGCTATATCTAGAAACTGAAAACAAAAAATAGTAGGAATATAACACCAGCCTCGACCATATCTACTTCAATGGAGATTGGCATTTAGAACATTTTTATTACCAGATAAAATTGCCTTAGCTCACAACATATATGGAGCAATATTCTGGAGTCAAAGGGCTCCATATAGCGTTTTTCATTACAGTTGCTGCTGTGTATGACTGCAGGGGATTGGGCAGTGAGGGGCTGCTTTAGAAAGCAATCCTGCATAACTGTATACCCCTATAAACATACACTAGACTCTCACACACACACACACACTAGACTCATAACGTCAATAACCCCATCCCCCCAAAAAAAACCCACTACATCCACCTAGTAGGCCACCTCTTCAGTGTGATTAGCTCCAGAGTGTGCAGTTGCCATGCTCACTCACCTGTCACCAGTTTCCATGCTGCACAGCCCGTACATTGTACAGAGATCACACAGCGCATGTGAAGAGCCTCATGCTGCAAGCCAGGTCCACCCATCACAACATGAAATATCTCTGTGTCCTCCAACTCACCTGAATGGTAAGTTAGCAAGCCCATCACTTACCATCACCCTGCACATACCCTCAGCTCTCACTCACCTAGTCACTATACCCGCCCCCCCACCCCCAGTTCTCACTCACCTAGTCACCCTACACTTCCCCCCAGCTCTAACTCACCTAAAGTCACCCTACCAATCCCCCATAGCTCTCACTCACCCTGTCCATCTTCCAGCTCTCACTCACCTGTCCAACACCCAAGCTTTCACTCACCTACAGTCACCTCCAAGACACCTACACCTCCTGCACACAAACTTCATACCTCCCAGTCACATACAGCCAACTTACCTATCTCTCCAAGCTGTCAATCACCTACAGCCACCCAAGGCAGACGCTGAACTCGAGTGCTATGGAGCTCATCATGGGACACCCAGGCAGGTCCCACCGTGCAAGTGACAGTGCTGCTGGCAAGCTCCTCAGTGTTTCTGTATATGTGCCATTGTGTTGGTGTATAGACAGACACATATAACCCTACATAACTGTATACCCCCTATACACACACACTAGACCCATAAAGACAAACTTCCCTCCACACTCATGTCATGCCCACACCCAGCCCAACACTAACCTTTAACGCTTATTGCTGCCAAACGCTGGACCATGCTGCACCAAAGAAAGCAGAAGCCACACCTTGCTATTCAGGCCCGACCTAAACCATCAGCCTAGAGGCATGCCCTTCGATAATGTGGAAGTACCCAGGAAGTAGGTGGGACATGTAAGGAGGTATGTCCATTTTCTCCTATTTAAAGCTGCTCATACCCTATACCTGTGCTCAGAATTCTGTGCTCCCTGCTACGCTCAGTCACTGCATTGTACCTCTCCTGATTATCTTGTATCGGACATTTGACTTGTCTTTCGTTTATGATACTGTGCTGCCTGACCTGACTACGCTTCTGCTGTACCTTTATCTTTACCTTGCTGCGGACACTCTCAGCCAATTACTGCATTTGGGGCACTATCTACTAAACCATTGCACAAACTGCTATACACATACTATGCCACTTCTACTTACACTTATATTGTATCCCCTATATTAAAACACACACAAAATACAGCACCTTTAAAGATACACTACAGTTCCTAATACACACATAGAACGCAACTTCTATACAAGTATGCATACACTGCAGCTCCTAGATACAAACACACTCTACAGGACCTATTGACACAAACACATATGTATATATATTCTACAGCCCCCAGACATGTGCGCACACACAATTCTAGGTGACATCCTGATGCTATATAGATCTTTACTCTAATGTGGTATTCTATCAGTTTGACAATAATGGTTTACCAGTAGATTGCACCCCTAATTCTGTAGCCTGATTTGGGGTTCCAATAATTAGGATATCAAAAGATGGCAGTATGGGTGGGGTTAGAAGGGGAGGGTTTGCAAAGACGGCAAACTATAGACCTGCAGCTTTTGCAAGCTGTTTTTAGATACACACCCAATGAAAATAAAAATAAAATGCATAATTGAATACACACATGTATGTTTTCATTTGGGAATATCTACCGAACAGTGACTTTTTTAGCCAATGTAGTGTCCCTTTAAAACAAATACGGGCCTGGGGGTTTCATCCATGTCTAAAAAAAGTCTTCCTCAGGAACTCAAGTGTGGCCGCTATAGTAACACAAAATGATTTTAAAAAAAAACTTTCCAGGTAGAAGCAGTGACTTACTGGCCCCCTGAGTATATTAGTGGTGGACATCGTGAAGGTCTTATTTTGCGAGTGTGGTCTTACAAACAGGCGATTTTCATTTTAAAGCAATATTAGAATATTTTGTGTTTCATTTTCTAAGAATTATAGCTGTATCCTCTTGTATATGTTGGTCAGTATTGTTAAAAATACCACTTTGAAAGGAGCCATCGGGGGAACTTAAGCATCATTATTGGTGATTTTTGACTGGTGTGTTTTAGCATAGTTTGAATGCAAAGGGCAGTAAGATACAATTACGTATGAAAATAAGTAATTTTGTCTTCTTTGCGTTTAATCAGATGTCAGTAATTTAAAGGACATTAAGCAAAACACCCTTTAGGTTAATGAAGCAGTTTTGGTGTATAAATCATGCAGTCCCACTGCTCAATATTTTGCAATTTAGGAGTTATAAAAAACAACAACAACAACAACTTTGTTTACATAGCCCTAGTCACACCTCCCTGCATGTGACCTGCACATTTCCTGAAAAGACAAATCTAAGGTTTAAAACTTTATTGCACAGTCTGTTTAATTTAGAATCTCTTTGCTCCTGCTCTGTTGACCACTCAACATTCAGAGCACTGCAGCTTGCTGAATTGCTGTATGGATGTGGAGTATCCCTTTAAAATCTTTGGTTAGCTGCAAGAACTGCCCAGTGACCTGCAGCAGGAGAAGCTCTCCCCTCCTGCATGTCAGTTCTTGCAGGGTCGGTCCTTTCTCCCATCCCTGTGTCACAGCCTCCCTCTCCTCCCCTGCCTTCTAACCTTGTAGTTGCCGATATGTGGGGTAGAGGATATTTAGTTTCCTCTACCCAGACTGACAGGAAGTGTTCTCACTTCCTATCAGTCCAGGTAGAGTAAACTAAAGATCCTCTACCCCACAGATCAGCAACTAAAGGTCAGCAGGGGAGATGAGGGAGGCTTTGACACAGATAGGGGAGGGGAGGGAGGATTTGACAGAGGGAGGGGAGGGGGGACTTGACAGAGGAAGAGGAGGGGAGGGAGTCTCTGACATGGAGAGGCAGGGAGGCTTTGACACAGGGAGGGGTGGAAGCAGAGAGGGAGGAGGGAGGCTTTGACACAGGGAAGGGAGGAGAGACACCTGAAAGAGAATGGAACGTAGGCTTCTCTATAAGAAGCTTCTTATTGGACAATTTCAGACTATTGGTCCTGGTGCTGACATGTAGGATGGGATATAGAAAGTAGGCCCTGCAATAGTCATACCTCCCAAGTGTCCTGTATCTGGTGAGGTGGTGCCGGAGGGAAACTTACAGGATGGATTTATAAAAATACACATACCCTGTGCTCACCTCTTGCTTTCACCCAACAAACCAGATCTGTCCATCTTACAGGCCCCACAGCTATCCTCTCTCTCGCTAATCACAAACTCTGTGCCTTTGTATTCCAGTTTAGCTACATCTTCAGCTCCTGGCATATGAGGCTGGGTCACTAGTGTTCTTCTGGACGTGAACAAACGTACAAAATGGAAGTCTGTGGAAGATCCTGCAAGACTACTTACAGGATCCTCCATAGACCTGCAAAATGACATACCATGCCACAGGCACTTGCGACTAATCACGAGAAATGACAAGTATGTTATCGTACAAATATATGTTTTCATTGTGTTAATTTGATTTCTCTAATAAACTGAAAAGGCAAGATTGCTACTTTAAGTCAGACATGTATTGTATTAGTAGATCTTTATGCCTCAGGTTTCACCTTGCTATTAGTACATATCTAACCCGGACACCTACCGACTTGAGAGTTCTCTTTCACAATATCCATGTAACAACCCTTCTCTTCTTCTAAGCATTTTGACTGCTCCTCAGAGACACAATCTTCATCCAGATCAGAATTTCCCTAAAGTACAAACAACTTCAGTCCACATTTTCCTTTTAACAAATCAATCAACAAGCAGATTTTCTTTTTTTGTTTTGTTTCTCAAAACGAACTCTGTAACATTATTCAAAAGGATAAATACAGATAGTGGGAGAGAGGGACTCGTTTTGATTCCACTCTGCTCGTAATTTAAATATGCAGGTGTCTTGACTCACTTGAATCCCCATGTCCCTTATAATGGTCACTTTTGCATAGAAGTCAAGGAGATCATGAGACAACACATCAGAAAGAGTGGACTCCACTCTTAGCAAAAAGCTGTCCAACACCCCCCTGTGCCATACCCAACCACCTGGACTTTGCAGAAGAGTATTACTTCATCACTAGTGTTAACATAAGGTTATCACCTTATCGGTTTAACTTGGAGTTACTTTTTAAAGAAGCAAAAACTAAGATCACACTTAAATATATGCCCTGTGAACACTTCCAACATGGGAGGTCTCTGTAGCGGAGATGCAATATTCCCCAGGTTATCTCCGCTTATGATCCAAGTGAGGCTCAGGAACAAGTAAATAAATCCACAGGCAAGGTTTCCAGCAGGTAAAATAACAGCAATATCCACAGCAATCCCAATAACTGGACGACACACAGTTTCAGGAGCAGAACTGAAAGCTTTAATCCACAGTGGCCTTTTAAAGCATGCTCCCATGCAAGGGAGGGATTTACACTCATTAATACAGTAGCCAATCCTGTCCTGGTAACCTCCCACAAATCTCCTCCCCTCAGCCAGCATCATAATCCCCTTATCCAGTCTAGCAATTCCCCCCGTTTCTGGATGTACCCCTAAACGTATGGGTACCCCTTTAAATCCTACATCCCCTGATAGCCCTGATCTGGGTGAACAACATATCCAAAAATCACCCAGATCAGACCTGGGGTTCGGGAAATTTATGGAGGGAATAAAATGACCGACCGCAATGACTGAAATAGCCGAATACAGTTCCATGCGAATGGGCCCTGCAATCGGTCCTGGAATAAGGGAACAAACTGCACGAAAGCCTCTAGCTATAGAGGCTAGGGAGGGTTCGCCTGAATCCCCTCGTTCGGTTCTTTCTATCTACCGAACGAGGGGCCGTTCGGTAGTTTGGAACCGAACGGACCGGGCTTGTGGAGGTTTCAGCGGTGTTCACCTAGTCGAGTGTCCGATTTGAGTTCCAGACACTCGACGGCAGAACACCGCTGTTCGGGAGTTTTAAAATGGCCGCCGCCACGTGTTCGTTTGTCGAATGGCGGCCACCCACGAGAACAAAGAACGGCTACTTAACTTGTCAATTACCCGTTCGCAACAATGTTGCAACAGGTGATTGAGGACACACTTAACACAGGGGAGGTCTGATTGTTCGGTAGTTTCATTCCCTTAGTTTAGTCGAATGATTCTACCGAACAATCAGAGGAATACAATTCTTTTAAAACACATAGAAAACTAGCAGATCACACGAATGCAGTTATTTCAAAGACATTTGCAGGACAGCCCAGTGCCATCCGCTACAGTCTCATATGGGTTTTAGCTCACTATTACAGTGGAAAACTATGCCCTTAGATCAGTCTCAGTCATGGAGGCAGTTCTAATCCAAAATACCACGAATATCTTAGCAGATAAAACAAAGCTACCTCCTAGAGAGACATGGCCACTGAGGAGGAGTACTTTGAATTTTCTTGTGATTATATCTCTCTCTGCTGTCTCTTCACCTGCATCTTAAATGATCACTATAGGGTCAGGAAAACAAACATGTATTCCTGACCCTATAGTGAAAAACCACCATTTAAGTGGCTTGCCCCCTCAGAATGGGTTAAAAAAAAAAAAAAAAAACACAACCTCACCTTGTTTTCAGCTCTCCACGGGTCTGCCGGTGCTGGCCCCGTCCCCTTGGTGACATCATCAAAATTGCAGATTTTTAGCCAATCCAATGCTTTCCCATGTGGGAAGAATCGGGTTGGCTAAAATTGGCAAGGGGCGGGGCCACACACTGTTTTGGCCAATCAGCACCTCCTTAAAGAGATGCATTGAATCAATGCATCTGTATGAGGAAAATTCAGCGTCCCCATGCAGAGCAGGCAGGGGTGCTTACTGTGCAACCCTGAGCCAGGAAGCACCTCCAGTGGCCATCTGAGGAGTGGCCACTTGGAGGTGTACTTAGGGGCAATGTAAACACTACCTTTACTCTGAAAAATCAGTGTTTGCATGAAATGCCTGAAGGGAACTATTATACTCACCAGAACAACTACATTAAGCTGTATTATACAATAAGATGCTGTATTATACAATAAGCTGTATACTGTACAATAAGCTGTATTATACATTAAGCTGTAGTTGTTCAGGTGACTATAGTGTCCCTTTAATCAATATCTTTATTTCCATTTCGTCACCAGCTTTCACTACTCTTGGCATATCTGTGATCAAGTCCCCTCTACTGGCTGTCACTACTTTTTTGTACACAGTCCTCTGTTTTTGTCACCCTCTTCCAATGAGTCTACTCATTAAAGAGACACTCTAAGCACCAAAACAACTTTAGCTTAATGAAACAGTTTTAGTGTATAGATCACGCCCCTGCAGTCTTCTCAATTCTCTGCCATTTAGGAGTTAAATCACTTTATTTCTGCAGCCCTGGCCACACCTCCCCTGGCTGAGACTCACGCAGCCTCCTTACACACTTCCTGAAAGAGACTTTACATTGTGCAATAAGGGAAGCTAAAACAATGTGTTTAATTTAAAATTAATGCTCTGTTAATAGCCTGCAACAGCCACTTGTGTGTGATCAAGTTCAACTAACAAACCAGGAAATGTGATTTAACTCCTGAATGGAAGAGAACTGAGCAATGAGATTGCATGGGGCATGATCTATACACCAAAACGGATTCATTAATGGGTTACTCCAAGCACCATAACCACTTCAAAGTGGTCATGATGCAGGTAATCTGTATATGCAGCATTTCACTATGAATCGCTGCACATATAAAGTTTAAAGGGACTCTCCAGTGCCAGAAAACATTAGTTTTTCTGGCACTGCAGGTCCCTGCAGTGCCCTCCTCCCTCCCGCATTTAGTGACGTACCTGAATCCAGCGCTTATGTCCCTTGGCGCTGGGTCAGGCTCCGCTCACGCTCCTCCTCGCCGACGTCATGCGTATGCACGGCAATGTCCGCACGTGTGTATTAGACCTCCCCATAGTATTCCGGGGACGCTGGAGGTCCTCATGCATAGTGTGAGGACGTCCAGCGTAGTTTAAAACACTTTTCGGGTTTTAAAAACCCATAAGTCCCTCTAGTGACTGTCTGATAGGCATCCACTAGAGGAGGACCTAACCCTGCAAGGTAAGTTATTGCAGTTTATAAAAACTGCAATAATTACACTTGCAGGGTTAAGGGTGGTGGGAGTTGGCACCCAGACCACTCCAATGGGCAGAAGTGGTCTGGGTGCCTGGAGTGTCCCTTTAATCTTTTTGATGCTGCAAATGTCACTAGGGCATCATTAGCCAATGAATGAGGGGTAGGATTTGCATCCGGGTTCTGCAACTCTTGATAGGAGACTAAGTGCTCGGTGGGCATTAGGTAATAGGGAAAACTGTTATAAAACAGTTACCCCATTACCAATGCCAGGGTATTCCTACCAGCATAAGCACTACAGCAGGTTGTATGGGGTTTATGGGGTTGGAGTAACCCTTTAAGCACCAGCAAGGTATATGGCTGCTTAGAGTACCCCTTTTAAACAGTAAGCTGTGGTAAACATACAAATTTGTGGCACATTTTAAAGTAGATAACCTAAAAAAACAACAAAAAAAACAAACAAAACAAAACACTCTACCTTTGCTTGAGTTTTAATATTCTCAACTCTTAAAAATTTGTAAGCCAGATGTCAATTCACAGTTCAGTGAATAGAATAAAAGGTTTCTGTCTTTTTTCTTTTTCTATAACAGAAGATTTAGTGTGTGTGGAAAGAACAGAGTAAGACAGCCATCAACAACCAGAGCGCTGCTTTATACAAATACCACCTGATGATCTCGGAGTGTGACTTTCAGTAGCAACCCAGAACACCACAATTAGGATACATGTTACCAGAACATTAAATTCCAAGTAAAATAGGTGTTAATGGGAAAGTCTCCCTTACCTGTCCAGCCATTTTGTCGTCCATCACTGGCGCTATATTGGAGAACTTGTCGGCTGCCACTACTTGCTCATCATTCAGTGTTACGAAGTTCTGGTCCATGTGGAAAAGCCTTTAGGACAGTTGTGACTGCTAGAGAGGGAAACAGAAATTTCATTTTAAAAAATAAATAAAAAAAAAAGCATCTGGGCTGTTCCCAAAGCTGGTGTAAAATAAGTTTGGAGCGATCCCAAACCTAACATTATACAATGGTATACATTATATCTGTGACCGACTTTCCAGTTACACCATATCTCTACCTTCCTCAGTTCCTTAGAATATCCTGTAACCAAGACTCAAAATGTCTACCTACGGGAAATCCAGGACTGTCGGGTGGGCACCCGCTGCCTATGAGGACCCACATGTCTGACGAGAAAATCTTATATTGTGAGCTCGTTTGGGCCGGGCCGTGTTCACCTACTGGTCCCGTATGTTATATGCGTGTTAGGATTAAATGTTGGTCTTGTTCCCTATTGTACAGCGCTGCGGAATATGTTGGCGCTATATCAATATTTAGCATTACACCGCTCCTGCACACCTCTCAGTAAGACATACAGGATAATAGGGGGGACAGAGGGAAATTAGTGAGGTCCTCTCTCCTCCTGATACATGTATCTGTGTGAGAACCCCCATTAACAGCCCACTCCTCCCCAGCCCTGACATACAGAGTGCATAATGTCATGTCCAGGGCCCCATTCTCCCCAGCCTTGACATACAGAGTGTATGATGTTATATCCAAGGGACCCATCCTCCCCAGCCCTGACATACAGAGTGTATGATGTTATATCCAGGGGCCCCATTCTCCCCAGGCCTGACATACAGAGTGTATGATGTCATATCCAGGGGCCCATCCTCCCCAGCCCTGACATACAGAGTGTATGATGTCACATCCAGGGGTCAATCCTCTCCAGCCCTGACATACAGAGTGCATGATGTCATATCCTCCCCAGCCCTGACATACAGAGTGCATGATGTCATATCCAGGGGCCCCATCCTCCCCAGCCCTGACATACAGAGTGTATGATGTCATATCCAGGGCCCATCCTGCCCAGACCTGACATACAGAGTGCATGATGTCATATCCAGGGGCCCATCCTCTCCAGCCCTGACATACAGAGTGCATGATGTCATATCCTCCCCAGCCCTGACATAGAGTGCATGATGTCATATCCAGGGCCCATCCTGCCCAGCCCTGACATACAGAGTGTATGATGTCATATCCAGGGCCCCATCCTCCCCAGCCCTGACATACAGAGTGCATGATGTCATATCCAGGGCCCATCCTGCCCAGCCCTGACATACAGAGTGTATGATGTCATATCCAGGGGCCCCATCCTCCCCAGCCCTGACATACAGAGTGCATGATGTCATATCCAGGGCCCATCCTCCCCAGCCCTGACATACAGAGTGTATGATGTCATATTCAGGGGCCCCATCCTGCCCAGCCCTGACATACAGAGTGCATGACGTCATATCCAGGGGCCCCATCCTGCCCAGCCCTGACATACAGAGTGCATGACGTCATATCCAGGGGCCCATCCTGCCCAGCCCTGACATACAGAGTGTATGATGTCATATCCAGGGGCCCCATCCTCCCCAGCCCTGACATACAGAGTGCATGATGTCATATCCAGGGGCCCATCTTCCCCAGCCCTGACATACAGAGTGCATGATGTCATATCCAGGGGACCCATCTTCCCCAGCCCTGACATACAGAGTGTATGATGTCATATCCAGGGCCCCATCCTCCCCAGCCCTGACATACAGAGTGTATGATGTCATATCCAGGGCCCCATCCTCCCCAGCCCTGACATACAGAGTGTATGATGTCATATCCAGGGGCCCATCCTCCCCAGCCCTGACATACAGAATGCACAATGTCATATCCAGGCCCCATCCTCCCCAGCCCTGACATACAGAGTGCATGATATCATATCCTCCCCAGCCCTGACATGTGTATGATGTCATATCCAGGAGCCCCATCCTGCCCAGCCCTGACATACAGAGTGTATGATGTCATATCCAGGGGCCCCATCCTCCCCAGCCCTGACATACAGAGTGCATGATGTCATATCCAGGGCCCATCCTGCCCAGCCCTGACATACAGAGTGTATGATGTCATATCCAGGGCCCCCATCCTGCCCAGCCCCACATACAGAGTGTATGATGTCATATTCACAGGGGCCCCATCCTGCCCAGCCCTGACATACAGAGCGGGCATGGATGCCAGTCCAGGGGCCCCATCCCGCCCAGCCCCGACATATTGAGTGCATGATTACATCCAGGGCCCATCCGCCCAGCCCCTGACATACAGAGTGTATGATGTCACATCCAGGGGCCCCATCCTCCCCAGCCCTGACAGAGTATGATGTCATATCCAGGCCCATCTTCCCAGCCCCTGACATACAGAGTGCATGATGCCGCCATCCAGGGACCCATCCTCCCCAGCCCTGACATACAGAGTGCATGATGTCATATCCAGGGCCCCATCCTCCCCAGCCCTGACATACAGAGTGTATGATGTCATATCCAGAGCCCATCCTCCCCAGCCCTGACATACAGAGTGTATGATGTCATATCCAGGGGCCCATCCTCCCCAGCCCTGACATACAGAATGCACAATGTCATATCCAGGCCCCATCCTCCCCAGCCCTGACATACAGAGTGCATGATATCATATCCTCCCCAGCCCTGACATGTGTATGATGTCATATCCAGGAGCCCCATCCTCCCCAGCCCTGACATACAAAGTGCATGATGGCATATCCAGGGCCCCCATCCTCCCCAGCCCTGACATACAGAGTGCATGATGTCATATCCAGGGGCCCATCCTCCCCAGCCCTGACATACAGAGTGCATGATGTCATATCCAGGGGCCCATCCTCCCCAGCCCTGACATACAGAGTGCATGATGTCATATCCAGGGCCCATCCTGCCCAGCCCTGACATACAGAGTGTATGACGTCATATCTAGGGCCCATCCTCCCCAGCCCTGACATACAGAGTGCATGATGTCATATCCAGGGCCCCATCCTCCCCAGCCGACATACAGAGTGCATGATGTCATATCCTCCCCAGCCCTGACATACAGAGTGCATGATGTCATATCCAGGGCCCATCCTCCCCAGCCCTGACATACAGAGTGCATGATGTCATATCCAGGGCCCCACCCTCCCCAGCCCTGACATACAGAGTGCATGATGTCATATCCAGGGGCCCATCCTCCCCAGCCCTGACATACAGAGTGCATGATGTCATATCCTCCCCAGCCATGACATACAGAGTGCATGATGTCATATCCAGGGCCCATCCTGCCCAGCCCTGACATACAGAGTGCATGATGTCATATCCAGGGCCCCATCCTCCCCAGCCCCGACATACAGAGTGTATGATCTCATATCCAGGGGCCCATCCTCCCCAGCCCTGACATACAGAGTGCCTGATGTCATATCCAGGGGCCCCATCCTCCCCAACCCTGACATACAGAGTGCATGATGTCATATCCAGGGGCCCATCCTCCCCAGCCCTGACATACAGAGTGTATGATGTCATATCTAAGGCCCATCCTCCCCAGCCCTGACATACAGAGTGCCTGATGTCATATCCAGGGGCCCCATCCTCCCCAGCCCTGACATACAGAGTGTATGATGTCATATCCAGGGGCCCATCCTCCCCAGCCCTGACATACAGAGTGCATGATGTCATATCCAGGGGACCCATCTTCCCCAGCCCTGACATACAGAGTGTATGATGTCATATCCAGGCCCCATCCTCCCCCAGCTCCTGACATACAGAGTGCATGATGTCATATCCCCTCCCCAGCCCTGACACATACAGAGTGCATGATGTCATATCCCTCCCCAGCCCTGACATACAGAGTGCCTGATGTCATATCCAGGGGCCCCATCCTCCCCAACCCTGACATACAGAGTGCATGATGTCATATCCAGGGGCCCATCCTCCCCAGCCCTGACATACAGAGTGTATGATGTCATATCTAAGGCCCATCCTCCCCAGCCCTGACATACAGAGTGTATGATGTCATATCCAGGAGCCCCATCCTCCCCAGCCCTGACATACAGAGTGCATGATGTCATATCCTCCCCAGCCCTGACATACAGAGTGCATGATGTCATATCCAGGGCCCCATCCTGCCCAGCCCTGACATACAGAGTGCATGATGTCATATCCTGCCCAGCCCTGACATACAGAGTGTATGATGTTATATCCAAGGGACCCATCCTGCCCAGCCCTGACATACAGAGTGTATGATGTCAAGTATCCAGGCCCCATCCTCCCCAGCCCTGACATACAGAGTGCATGATGTCATATCCAGGCCCCATCCTCCCCAGCCCTGACATACAGAGTGCCTGATGTCATATCCAGGGGCCCATCCTCCCCAGCCCTGACATACAGAGTGTATGATGTCATATCCAGGGGCCCATTCTCCCCAGCCCTGACATACAGAGTGCATGATGTCATATCCAGGCCCCATCCTCCTGCAGCCTGACATAGCTACAGAGTTCGGATGTCATATCCAGGGGCCCATCCTCCCCAGCCCTGGACATAAGCAGATGTATGATGTCAGCATCCAGGGGCCCATCCTCCCCAGCCCCGGCTGCCAGAGGTATGATGCCTACATCCAGGGGCCCATTCTCCCCAGCCCTGACAGCAGAGTGCATGATGCTCATCCAGGCCCCATCCTCCCAGCCCTGGGACATGTACAGAGTGCATGATGTATATCCAGGCCCCATCCTCCCCTGGCCCTGACATACAGAAAGTGCATGATGTCATCCCTCCCAGCCCCTGACATACAGAGTGCATGATGTCATATCCTCCCCAGCCCTGACATACAGAGTGTATGATGTTATATCCAGGGGCCCCATTCTCCCCAGGCCTGACATACAGAGTGTATGATGTCATATCCAGGGGCCCATCCTCCCCAGCCCTGACATACAGAGTGTATGATGTCACATCCAGGGGTCAATCCTCTCCAGCCCTGACATACAGAGTGCATGATGTCATATCCTCCCCAGCCCTGACATACAGAGTGCATGATGTCATATCCAGGGGCCCCATCCTCCCCAGCCCTGACATACAGAGTGTATGATGTCATATCCTCCCAAGCCCTGACATACAGAGTGCATGATGTCATATCCAGGGCCCATCCTGCCCAGACCTGACATACAGAGTGCATGATGTCATATCCAGGGGCCCATCCTCTCCAGCCCTGACATACAGAGTGCATGATGTCATATCCTACCCAGCCCTGACATACTGAGTGTATGATGTCATATCCTCCCCAGCCCTGACATACAGAGTGTATGATGTCATATCCAGGGGCCCATCCTCCCCAGCCCTGACATACAGAGTGCATGATGTCATATCCAGGGGCCCATTCTCCCCAGCCCTGACATACAGAGTGCATGATGTCATATCCAGGGGCCCATTCTCCCCAGCCCTGACATACAGAGTGCATGATGTCATATCCTCCCCAGCCCTGACATACAGAGTGCATGATGTCATATCCAGGGCCCCCATCCTCCCCAGCCCTGACATACAGAGTGCATGACGTCATATTCTGCCCATCCCCCCTCCATCCCGCCCTGGGGGTCTCTCACACCCGGTAGACTCGGGCTATTTACTAACTGGATACATACAGTCTGACTCTCCGCCGGGCAGGGCTAGAGCGACGCCCTCTGTGACGTTTTGAAACGCTTACTTGTGACGTAATTCCCCTAGCACCGCGAAGGATCACGGGAGTTGTAGTGCATTACGCTCCGCCTCCGCTATGTTTGGGCATTGAGATCACACGGCGCACAGTGCGCACGCGCAGGATCCCTCGGAGGGCTGTTACCATAGAGACGCAGTGAGAGAGCTCCCCAGCGGCCATGATTGATTCTGGCAAACCGCTCGTTATTGCACAAGCTGATCCCATGGAGCGGTATAAGCGGGTGATGTGTGAATGCCGGCCGGGGTGTCACCGAGAATCCCACATATTGTGGTAATTTCTGATTTCAGTCACAGTCGGCGCTGAGCTATGGCTGTCAGTGTCTGCATGGCCCAGGGGGCTCTGTGGTCACACCATGAATGGGCTGAGTGCACACAGGGGGCAGGGAGCAGGGGGCTGGGGGCAAGGGGTGAATGCTAAGGTCATTGGGGGCACAGGGGTCCTCAAACTTTTTAAACAGGGGGCCAGTTCACTGTCACTCAGACACTGCTGGGGGCCGGATTATAGTGTGAAACAAATTCCTATACATACTGAAACACACATAGATATACACACAGACACACAAACATACTGAAACAGACATAGAGACATATACACACACTGACATACATATACACACACACACACACACACAAACATACTGAAACAGACATATACATACACACAGACACACAAACATACATATACATACACACAGACACACAAACATACTGACATACATATACATACACACAGACACACAAACATACATAAACATACACACAGACACACAAACATACTGAAACAGACATACATACTGACATACATATACATACACACAAACATACTGACATACATATACATACACACAGACACACAAACATACTGACATACATACACAGACACACAAACATACTGAAACAGACATATACTGACATACATATACATATACACAAACATACTGAAACAGACATATACATACTGACATACATATACATACACACAGACACACAAACATACTGAAACAGACATATAGACATATACACACACTGACATACATATACACACACACAGACACACAAACATACTGAAACAGACATATACATACTGACATATATATATATACACACACACAGACACACAAACATACTGAAATAGACATACACACACACTGACATACATATACACACAGACACACAAACATACTGAAACAGACATATACATACACACAGAAACACAAACATGCATATACATACACACAGACATACAAACATACTGACATACATATACAGACACACAAACATACTGACATACATATACCTACACACAGACACACAAACATACATATACACAGACACAAACATCCTGAAATAGACATACATACTGACATACATATACATACACACAAACATACTGACATACATATACATACACACAAACATACGGACATACATATACATAGGGAATAAACAAAAAAAGAAACAAATGCCATTCTACCTGTGTATGATTTACTGAGAAAATTGTAGATTAAAAAGTAACTTTTAATAAATAAATCTAAAATAAGAATATAAAAAAGAAAAATAATATGAACAGCAGGAGTAAATGGAGACTATACAGCGAGTAAAACTCTGTGACTACTTATATAAGCTGTAAAAGTGTATACATAATAACACTAATGCTGAAGCTATACTGTTTAGCTACAATATAACATCAGTGTATTCCCAAGTAATAGAAGTGATACTATATTATATATCACTAATAGCTGTAGCAAAAAGGGGGGGGGGAGATAAGACAACTGCTAAACCAGTGCTGTCAATAGTTCAGCTAAGACAGATTTCTGACATGGCGATTAGCCATGAGCTTCACTGGCGAAACGTGCACGTCAGGGGCTCTGGACACTTACTGACACATTATTGGTGTCGGCATCTAACTCTCTGCTTATCTATTGCTAAATTACCGACATCAAGTTCATTTATGTCCAGCATTTCAGGAGTGCATACTGGAGACTCTTAACACTAATTTTGTGTACTCTGTACATACTTTATTTCTCTTTCTTTTTTCCTTTATTATGTGTATGGGGGGAGATTGATAAGACCAGGCATTTTATTAAGGGGTGCCCTCGAAGGCACAAGACTCAGGAATCTTTATTCTATATGCCTTCCTCTGTCACTGTCTGTATATTTTCTACTACCTAGGCAACCTGTTCAAAACTGTTTGTAAACCCTCTCTTTATACTTTGACCTATTATTTAGATGCAGCTAGCATTTAGGCAACTTGTGTGATTTTTAACCAGTTAACTGCTGCCTGTCAGCAGTCCTTCACAGGTGAGCTACTACTTTGTGCTCCACTGTGGTCAAGCATAAGTTAACATCATTCAGTGCAGGCAGCTGTTGTTACACTAGAATATACTGCTAGGTATCTTGCAGGAAAAAACGGAGCCAGGTCAGCAACCCCTTATTTTACACTTTACTGCCTGACAGCAAGCTTTAATTTATTATCAAAATGCTGCTATGATCTAGGCAGCTTTTGTGATATTTAACTGGCTAATCGCCATGTCAGAAATCTGTCTTAGCTGAACTATTGACAGCACTGGTTTAGCAGTTGTCTTATCTCCCCCCCCCCCTTTTTGCTACAGCTATTAGTGATATATAATATAGTATCACTTTTATTACTTGGGAATACACTGATGTTATATTGTAGCTAAACAGTATTGCTTCAGCATTAGTGTTATTATGTATACACTTTTACAGCTTATATAAGTAGTCACAGAGTTTTACTCGCTGTATAGTCTCCATTTACTCCTGCTGTTCATATTATTTTTCTTTTTTATATTCTTATTTTAGATTTATTTATTAAAAGTTAGTTTTTAATCTACAATTTTCTCAGTAAATCATACACAGGTAGAATGGCATTTGTTTCTTTTTTTGTTTATTCCCTATGATATTCACCATTTAGGGGTTATCCCCCTTTTTTGTGCCCTCTACCTTGTGATATCTAAATTTTGGCCCTAGGTTAATTCTTTTTGTTTTCCTCGTATAATACATATACATACACACAAACATACTGAAACAGACATATACTGACATATATATATACATATACACAAACATACTGAAACAGACATATACATACTGACATACATATACACACACAAACAGACACACAAACATACTGACATACATACACACAGACACACAAACATACTGAAACAGACATATACATACTGACATACATATACACACACAGACACACAAACATACTGAAATAGACATATACACACACTGACATACATATACACACACACAAACATACTGAAACAGACATATACATACTGACATACATATACACACACAGACACACAAACATAATGAAACAGACATAGAGACATATACACACACTGACATACATATACACACACACACATAAACACACTGAAACAGACATATAGACATACATATACACACACACAGACACCCAAACATACTGAAACAGACATATAGACATATACATACTGACATACACACACACGGACACACAAACATACTGAAACAGACATACATATACACACACACACACAGACACACAAACATACTGAAACAGACATATAGACATATACATACTGACATACAAATACATACACACACAGACATGCAAACATACTGAAACAGACATACATATACATACTGACATACATATACATACACACACACACAGACACACAAACATACTGAAACAGACATACATATACATACACACACACAGACACGCAAACATACTAAAACAGACATATAGACATATACACACACTGACATACATATACACACAGACACACAAACATACTGAAACAGACATATACATACTGACATACATATACACACACAGACACACAAACATACTGAAACAGACATATACATACTGACATACATATACACACACTCAGGGCCGGTGCTTGGATTTTTAGGTACATAGGCGAAGATGCATTTTTCCGCCCCCCCCCCTCCCCCCCCAAAATCTTCACCTATGTGCCTCTTAACCAGCCCCTCTCCCCTCCCCGACCATTAGTGGTCCCTTCCGTTCCCTGTCCCTTAGTGTTCTTCTCCCCTTTCCCCCTCCCCCCTTTTTTCCCTGTCTCTTGGTGTTTCTCTCCCATTCCCTCCCTGTCCCTTGGTGCACCCCCCACCCCTTTAGTGGTCACACTTCCTGGTGTGTGCCTCCTACCTCTATTGTTGCATTGCCGAGCGGAGCAGATCCCCTAAAGGAGCTTCAGTTTCCTGTACCCGGACGGACTGACAGGGAGTGCTCTCTCTCTGTGAGCACCTCCTGTCAGTCTGGCCAGGTACAGGAAACAGAAGCTCCTGTACCGCGCTCTGCTCCACTACACTCTGTACACACTGACAGTCACACACTCAATGACAAACACACAGACGCCACTGACAGACACAGACTCATTGATCTGACACACACTCATTCATTGACACTGACAGACCCACACTGATTG